AACAAGTGCAAATTATGCAAATTACATTATTTGCATCAGTTGTGAAATGACATGATACATTTGACATCACTTTCCCCCCTACAGACACCCATAAGCCCTTGCAATTAATTTACAGCTCAGAATACTGTACAATTTTGATTGGCTGGGTTACTAGGAATTGTATGGGTTTTTTAGTTTTGGCTAAACATGTTCTATGAACCCAGTCATTGGCTTTTATAATTTATGACTTTGGGATTAGTGTTAATATTAAATCAGGCTGCTACAACTTTTTCAACAAATCACAATACACAATGTACTGATGCAATAAGTTGTTATTCCCTTTGCATGAAGTATTGCTCAAATCACAATTCCATCAAGGTCAACTGATTTACTTGGATCACACAATCAACTGAATTTGCATGACAGTGTGAGGCAAAATAAAACAGACCCTTATTTATGGTTTAGTGTAAGGAGTAACCCAGGCAGTTAATTAATACTGTCTAATGCACTTGAAAGAAGGAACATCTTTTATTCTTTATTTTCTAGCTCAGTGACGGCAAACCTTTTGGGCTCGGCGTGTCAAAAATTCAGAAAAAGCCTAACTTGACTCTGCTGGCATGTCGCCTCCCCCCAAACAAAAGAGAAACAATTCTTTACATATTCATTTATTTAAAAAAAATACAGTCCAATCATGTGTGGTTCTATGTATTTTATAAAGAAATGTCAAATAATTACAAAAATGAAATATGAATAAAACAAACTCAGTTTTTGGGTAACTCAAACAAGGAGAATAGTTGTCAGGTGTTGGTGAATGCTGGCATGTCACCCAAAATGTGGCATGTCACCTTTGACACACATGTCACAGGTTTGCCATCACTGTTCTAGCTCATCAATTTCAGATAGTGAAACCAAATGAATTAAAGGTTTAAGGCATTAACAATTCTAATAAAAATGCAAGCAATGACTGCTTCCATTATACATTAACTCATTATTAACTGACACATGGTTTACTCAATACAATTGCCTGGGACCACAACAACAAAGCAATGAGCTGTAAAAAATATTGCATTTTAGCTTAGTCTATTGTGCAAAACCTACCAATATATCAGTGAAGGGGAATGGAAATGAACAAAAAAAGATTCTTCCACTTGTAGGTAACTGTAGTATTATAAGGAGCAATTAGGATTACAAGCCAACCAGAAAAAGAGAATCAGTCTTATGCTACTGCAGCTTGATAGCCTTTCACTGCATGAAGATAAAGATTAAGCTGCTGTTAAAAAGGCAGACATAGGAATGATTTAAAAAGATGGGGATTCCACTTTGAAATGGATTCTAATTTTGTAACAATGTGTCTATATACTTAAAAAAAACAAAAAAACCACACCCACACAATTATAATAAATTAATGTTTGTACCACAACAATTACCAGCATAAGTCTGCAGCATATGTTCCACAATAAAATATCAAGGCAGACAAGAGTTAGTCTACCAGTTCTATATGGAAACTAGAGCTGTGCAGTGCTTTAGAAAGAATTTGGAAACATTGCTTCAAAGTACACAGAGATACAAATGTAGCACCTATCTACAGTTCTTTAAAGCAGCTGTGTCTTTCCCTGGGATCATGTGATAACTGCAGAGAACATTGCATGATTCTGGGAAAACATATGGCAGCTTTAAAAGTTACAGACATTTGCACTCCCATGAACTCTAACCGTTTTGGAACTTAATCTGGAGCATAGCAAAGCCCTAACAGAAATTAACATTGCTTCCTCTGATGTGCTTAATAGCAGAATTTGGTCCCCTAGCTAATGCCATTACTTTTTAATAAGAATAATACTTCAAGCTGATATAAATGTTTAAATTAGATACACTAATAATGGCAGTAAAATTTGTTTGTAACAATCCTTCGTAATAAGTCTGTGTACTATTGGTG